AAGGTAATTTTAATCTCAAAATCTAATGATTTCTTTGGTACTTTAGATGTAGATATCGAATTTTGTGTTTTTTGGTTTTTTTTTTGGGTATTCAATTTCATGGTTCAATATTTTTATTATTTATTCTGACTAACGGCTTGCAGTATTTGATTAGGCTTAAGAGAATGGTGTTGGTTTTGTTCCGAGAGCTGCTGTCATAGAACTTGAATATAGGAATATCAGACTATTCAAAGTCAAGCTGCCACTAAGCTTCAGGTCCATAGCTGTGTTTTACTTATAATGATACATTATGTATATTGTATTCATAAGTTTTTCATTTATTATATTTAAATGTGTACTTTATGTGTGAATAGTAATTTAGGTGGCACAGCTCCATTAACTCAGTGCCATATTTCATTTCTTGTAAAATGTGTGGTAGTTTTGATGATACATTTAGATTCTGAAACAAATTTCTTAATTTTACCTGTAACAAAGTAAGTGCCATAAGGTGGGCTGATTTGGGTCAAGGGTAACGCTGCCTCGGACAGGTACTCAACAGGTGAATCTACCAAGTCTCCAGTAATACTTACAAGGTCTGCAAAAACAGAAAATGTTTATCACATTTTTTCACCAATAAACATGATCATTTATTTCATGTCAATCTCAAGCTACACACATCATTGAGCATTTTTTGATTAACATTTTTAAAATTATAAGCATACAAAAATGAGAAAATTACAAAAAGGATAAAATATCCATTAGTCCTTGAATGTTTGCATTGCATTTGTAAACAGACTACTTAATTTATTTATTTATCTGAAGTAAGAAAAAAGAATATAAGAATGCCAACAACAGCAAGTGATATAAGGAAATTGAATAAGGAAACACCCTCAACACCACATACATACACAAATGCCCCCCACCAAACAAAAGCTAACAGGTGAATAAATAAATAAAGTGAATACATTTTTTTTTTCTTTGAGAATATAAATAATAATTATAATTAATAAATAAATAAATTAAATAGTAATAAGGAATAAAGATAATAGTTTTGATAAAAAATAAAGTAATAATATTAATAAATATTAAAGATAATATTAATAAATAATATAACAATAATTATAATGATAAATATAATAACAATAATATTAATAATAACAATAACAATAATAATAACAATAATATTAATAATAATAATAACAATAGTCTACTTCGATCTTCCGATTGAGATTGTTTTATACCGAATAAATGCACAAATTGGAAGGTCACCGTAGCCATCATTTGGATCACAGACAGCCTCCAATGATCAGGTCACCGTAGCCATCATTTGGATCACAGACAGCCTCCAATGATCATATTCTTAATTAAAATACTAAACATGGAGACTTCTGAAAATCTTCAAACAAGAGTTTGCATATCTTTTATTTATTTATTTTAACTTACTGTTTATATTTATTTATTTTAATTTACTCTTTATATATATTTATATACTGTTCTACAATAATTGTAAATTGATAACCAGTATGATTGATTGTATTAATATGGTATAAAATAATAAAAATTTAACACAAATTTGTAAATAAATATGGTAATATTCTTTAGAATTATGAGTACGCCTAATAAATTAACATGCAACGGTCATGACATTTTTGAATCAAAACAAACATAATAAACAAGAGAAAATTAAGGCCATATACCTGGGTTCAGACTGTTTATTAGCTGTATGGCTCTTTGAAGTTGTGACCTGCCTACAGTAGGCCCTAGATGGATATCTGATACCTGTACAATTCTTGTACCATCAAAGGATTTTGGGAGATTATTAATTGGAACATCAACTTTCTTTATAATCGGTCCATAAAAAGCTTGTGAAACAGCAGAAAAAGCAAGGAAACCTGATACAATAACTATAACAACCACTTTCACAAAATTTGCCAATACAGGATCTGTCTCGGGGCAAAATATTTTTTGGAATACATAACCAAATAAATGATATAATGTTATATTTGTCATTAACAATATATGAATGCCTAGGCATATGTAGCAGAACAAAACAATTGTATACGGCTCCACTGAAACGTATGTTACACCCAAAGGATAGCATAGTTGAGCACTAACAATAATAGTAAAAAGGAATAATTTCCATAGGGTTTGGAAACGCCTCTTAATATAGCTAGGCCTGGCCCTACTAGGCCTACTACTACACTGCCCGCTGCCACTTGTTGTTAACCGAGTTTCCCTAGCCACCACTTCGTAGATTAAGCCTGCTCCTACAGCAGGGTACACTTGTGAAATATTTCGCCAAATATATATTGAACCCAAAGAAAGAATAGATTCTATAAGGAGGACGATTTGAGCGCGTAAAACTAAGGCTCGAATTTTGCGGTGTGAATTGCGGACAGCTAATGAGCTTAATAACGAAACGGTCACCAGAAAACAGAACAACCATATCAACTTTCTCGTAATAGTAGACATTTTGACGATAGCCGAGGCCGAAGTAGGAAATAAGAAATTATACGTATCGTGTTGTTCCACAATATTTCCGTACTTTAAGCTTGAATCTATTCAAGCGTGAATGACGACCTCTTCTAGTTAAGCCCCGCCCCTTTTGATGACATCAGCAACTTTGGGCTTATTCGACTGGTTCATTTCGTTGAGTACGAATTTTCGTTGAGTATTATTTTCATTCGACTGGTTCGTTAAATCAGGGAGTTGTTATAGCATGGTTATAGCGGCTATATAC